CCCCGCCACGGCTCGGCATGGCGGGCAGGCGGGATCATTCCGCGGCTTCGTGGGTCGGCTTGCCGTCCTTCTTGGCAGCCCCACCCTTGCGGGCCTCCCGCCGCCTCTTGCGGTGGCCTTCCGCGTCGGCCGGTTGTCGCCGCTGCCTGCAGTTCAGCTCCCAGTTGAGCTGGTGCATCCAGATGCGGCACTGGTACTGCCGGTTGAGGGCACGGAGGAGGGCCTTGAACTCCACGTAGCCGTCGCTGCGGTACGTAAAGGTCAGCTTCTTCCGGTCGAACTGGAAGACCGCGCGCTGCACCTGCAGCGGGGTGCGCATGTTGAGCGAGTCAATTGCGGCCTTGCAGAAGCGCAGCGCTTCCTCCTCCAGCTGGTCGAGGCCGTGAAACGCCTCAATCTCCTCCGGGGAGGCCGCGCGGAGCACGCAGAGGTGACTGGTCTCGCCCTCCTCCGTCGGCTCCGCCCTCTTCACGGGCTCCTGCTCCGACCTTTCAACGGAGACGACGACGCCCAAGTCCACCCCACGATCCCCCTCTACAATAACGTGGCGGCCCACCAGCTCCTCGGGCTGCACAATGAAGCCAAAGATCTGCGGCACATCGCTCACAATAAACAACTCACTTTCCAAGCGAAGCTCCACCTTTACTTCCGCGTACATGACACCACGAAAAACCATGGGACGGCCATCAACGTACACCTTGCAAAGATTGTTGCCGCGCTGGATTGGCGTGGAAGCCACCGGGCTCCCAAGGTTTCCGCATGAGCCACTGTTACTGCTTAGGCTTATGGAGTTGTCTGTAACCATGCTGGTACTCCCACTTTCCACGGGCTCTGCGGGAAGTTGATACGAGGGTCTCGTCGGATTTGCAAGCGACAAAAGCATGCATTGGGCGCAGTAATAAGGAGACCCATACACACTGCAGTCATAGGCGGTTTCATTCATGCAGAAGTTGTTGCTGTAGGAGCTCGGCATGTGCGCGTTCCGCGGAGTCTCGGCAGGAATAAACGCGGGCGCGTCGGGGTTCGGTTCTTGCCGCTTGCTCTCAAAGGGTGTGTCGCATGTCAACACCGGGGTGAGAGTGACTGGATAGTACGGGTTATGCGACTGCCTCCGCCGGACCACCTTCTTCACTTCACCACAGGCCGCGTTATTGGCCTTGTTGGCCTCCTGTATGACACCGGCTGTGCAGTCGGAAAGTGGAACATCCTGCATGCTTCTTTCCCCACCCCCCTTCTTTTTTATCTTTTTTTTGGGCTATTCCGCCGCTTCGCGTCTCCGCCGGGGAAAAGAAGCTTAAATATAAATATAAATATATACTTATACTTAATTTATATGCGTGCTGTGCCTCTGCGGCAGGGGGTTAAAAAGGCCCTTCACTTATCTTTTCAGAGGAAACAACAACAACAACAACAAAGCGCAGCACAAGAGAAGCTTCAAGCTCACACACCGACGTCGTGGCCGCCGTTTTCCCACGGAATTTCGGCTCACGCCTCGCCCGCCGCTGCCGCTGCCGCTGCCGCTGGTGTTGGTGGTATTAAAAGGGAGGCACGAGTGTGGAGAAATAGTTACGCCCCTCCCCCCTCCCAACCGCCACACCCTCCGTTTCTGTTTGTGTTTCGATTTTTTTTTTGCTCTCCTTTTGCCGTTTATTGTTGTTACCACCCCGCCCTTACGCCGCTGCCACGCGCCAGAGGCGAACCACGTTGTCGTCGCCGCCGGAGGCCAGCAGCACACTTCCGCCGTCGCCAACGGCCTGCTTGCCGTCTCCCCGAGTTCCCTGGGGAAAGGCGGAGAATGCGACACTGTTCACGTCCGCGTCGTGCGCGGACGGCACTTCGGCGAGGACGGCAACGTGCACCTCCCTGCACGCAGGCGACTGGTGAAGACCGAGGAGGGTAATTTTGTTGTCGCCGCTGCCGCAGGCCAAGATGGCCCCGCAGCGGCTGGGGGCCCAGCCCACACTGTAGATGGAGCGCGCGGCGAAGCCGGCGGCGGTGGCAACCGCCTGGAACGTTCCTTCAGCGTTGCGCTTCCAGAAGGTGACGCTTCTGTCGTCCGAGCAGCAGGCAATGATGGGCTGGCACGACGGCGGCGCCGCCGCCTCCGCCAGCAGGGCCTCCATCGACTGTTCGACAGGCTGCACGGCTAGAGCCCAGACCGTCTCCTCGTGCCGCGTTAGTGTCTGAAGGCAGTACCAGTCATCGCGGCGATGCGACTCCGTCCAGACCTTTACAGTATTATCGTACGAGCACGAGAGCAGCAGCGGCTTCGCGCCCCCCTCGAGTGGAGGAATCCAGGCGCACGCCTTCACATCCTGCGCGTGCCCCGCAAGGACGCCCGCGCACTCGAACTCGCCAACGTCGACGCGTTCCCACACCCACACAGTGCGATCGCGCGAGCAAGTCGCCAATGTGCTGTCCGTTAGCCACGCCACACACTTGACTTCGCTTTCGTGCCCCTCAAGGACGGCCTCCAACTCAAACTCAAAGAGGCCCTGCTCCTCAGATGCTCGCTTCCACACGGTTGCCGTGCGGTCAAAGGAGGCACAGGCAATGCACTCACCGCTGGGACTCCACGAGATGTGCCGCACCGTCCTGCTGTGCTCGCCTTTCAATGTGTAAATACACTCCCACACAAGACTCTCCGCCTCCTGCCCCTGCTCCTGCTGGCCATCCGCACCCGTCGCGTGACGCGAGCAACTCCAGAGCCTGACTGTTTTATCGGCGGAACTGGAGGCCAGCACGTTTGCCGTCGGGCACCAGGCCACGCACCACACGCGATCTTCGTGGCCCGCCAGCACCGCAACCGGATCCACCCGGAGGAGCGGCGGAGGATCAAAAGACAAATGCAGCGGCCGCTCGGCGTCAGCGGCAGTGTTATTTACCTCTCCGGATGCAAAGGCCGAGAAAAGAGGCATTCGTCCGTTTTCTTTTTTCTTCGCCCTCCAGACAACTTCGCGCTTCAACGCAAAAGAAGAAAGAAAAAAAAAGCAAAAAAAAACACACACAGGCAAAGGAGGAATGCAAACCCCCCCCCCCCCATGAGAGAAATAAAAGCGAACCCACGACCGGGCCAAGGCTACGCCCCCGCCTGCCACAACCTTGTAGGTACCACTTGACCACTGGAACTACGTACCTATTTAGGCGTCGCTTAAACGGTTCCAACGCACAGAAACTCAGCAGTTAGCACAAACAACACACATTACGGACGAAGAATCAGTTTGGCAGACAAATCGAAAAACAACAACAACAGATCCCCTCAAAGTAGTTTCGTCCCACCTACATGCGTTTCCTAATCGCTATCATCAAACTGAAATGCCCTAACACTCGTATCCACGCCAGCAGCGTAGAACTTCGCCTTATTCTTCTGTTTCAGCTTGTTAAAATTCTTACCCTTTACACGCATCATCTCTTGATTTTGCCGAAGCACCATATGTTCATCTCCCGGTCGGTTATCCTTTAATTCATCCTGTGAGAAAACAACTTTCGTTGGGTCAATACGCTGAAAGCGACGCACCACACTTCCACCCTTCCCATTACTGCTTCGACCGCCAACGACATCTTTATTATTCCACTCTTTGGACTGCCGCACCACTGATCCCTTCTCCGTCCGAATAGACTTCTTCACAAGCCCCTCCTCGTCACTCGGCTCGGATTCACGCGCCCTCTTCGGCCCCGGCTTCCGCACGGGCTCATCGTCGTCGTCGGAGCTCTCCAGGACAGCGGCCTTATTTGCAGCGGGCTTCACTGCGGATGACGCATTGGCCTTCGGCGCCGGCTTCCGCACGGGCTCATCGTCGTCGTCGGAGCTCTCCAGGACAGCGGCCTTATTTGCAGCGGGCTTCACTGCGGATAACGCATTGGCCTTCAGCGCCGGCTTCCGCACGGGCTCATCGTCGTCGTCGGAGCTCTCCAGGACAGCGGCCTTATTTGCAGCGGGCT